TCCGCGCGTCTCAGCAGCCTCGCGGCGCCGAGCCGCGCGAGGTCCGCGTCCAGCGCTCGCGCGGCGGCGTTGAATCGATCGACGCCGTACTCCCTGTTCCCGCACCCGAACACCGCGTACTTGGTCTCCGCGAGATGAAGCGCGCCGACGCGCTCGTCCATCGCGGACTCTCGAACCCACCGGCAGAGCCAGCGCGCGTTCTCCGGCGGCGCGGCGCCGTCGTCGTCCTCGTACGTGGACAAGATCACGACCGCGACGGGCGTGGACGACAGGCTCTCCGGCTCGAAGTCGCGCGCGTCGACGACGTCGAGCTCGAGGCCGTGGCGCGCGCGCAGCGACGCGGACAGCTTGTGCGCGAGCCTTCGCGCGGTGCCGGTCTGCGATCCGAACAGGATCTTCCCGCCGGACGCGCGCGCGGACGACGACGCGTCCTCCTCGGACGCGAGCGTCGTCGGCGTCGTCGGGGTGATGAATTCGTCGAGCTCGTCGGCGGCGGCGTCCGCGCCGGCGTCGAGCCGCGAGAGGAGTCGCTCGCTTCGCGCGATGACGTCGTTCGAGGTCCCGGGGGACGACGCGGACGCGCTCGCGGCGTCGGGCTCGGCGTCGGCGCCGCCGAACCCGAGGGCTCGGCTCAGGAGCCCGGCCAGCCGCTGCATCGCGAGGGAGTGCGGCGCGTTGTGGTGGTCGGTCGGAGGCGCCGGCGCGCTCATCACGCTTTCTGGACGAGCGCTTTCAAAAAGCATCGAGACGGCGGCGAGCGATCACAGACTTCACCGCGCATACACGCGCTCGGTAGGTCGTCACACGCGTCAAAATGATGGCGGGGAACCAAATCATGGATGGCGAACGCCAGAGCGGACAAGACGTCCGCTCGAGCAACGGTGCGCGCGCGATCGATCGAACGAACGATCGATCGATCCGTCGGTCAACTTTCCAACTCGGCGCGCGATCTCGCGCTCGCCCCGCGCGCGACGACGAACGCCATCTGACGCGCCGCTTCCTCCTCTCCACCCCCGTCCTTCGCAGTCATGGCGGTCCAGGCGGTCGCGAACATCGTGAAGACGTCGCTCGGCCCCGTCGGGCTCGATAAGATGCTCGTGGACGACATCGGCGACGTCACGATCACGAACGACGGCGCGACGATCCTCAAGCTCCTCGAGGTTGAGCACCCCGCGGCGAAGGCGCGTCTCTCTCCCGCCTCGCAGCCTCCGCGCGCGCGTCCTCCCCCTCGTTGTTCGCGTCTTCGTGATCCGCGCGATCGGAACGAATAGATACGCGTCGCGATCGTCCGCGCGCCCCGCGCGATCGCGCGCGCCGATCGATCGCGCGCGCCGCGCGATCGCGCGCGCGTTCCGTCGTCAACCTTCGGCTCGCTCGCCGCTTCTTCTTCGCGGCCGCCGCGGGAGGGACATCTTTTTTTCATATCTCGACCCGATCTGACCGGGTCCCTCCCCCGCCTCCCGCGCCCCTCCCTCCGCGTCTTCCTCCCGCGCGCCGTGCCGTCGCGACCGACAGATCCTCGTCGAGCTCGCGGAGCTCCAGGACCGCGAGGTTGGCGACGGGACCACGTCCGTCGTCATCCTCGCCGGCGAGCTGCTGAAGCGCGCGAACGATCTCGTGAGAAACAAGATCCACCCGACGTCCATCATCAGCGGCTACCGCCTCGCGATGCGCGAGGCTGTGAAATACATCGAGTCTAACCTCGCGACGCCGATCGACTCGCTCGGGAAAGAGACCATCCTGAACTGCGCGAAGACGTCCATGAGTTCCAAGATTGTCGGCGCGGATTCCGACTTTTTCGGCAAGATGGTCGTCGACGCCGTCCTGGCGGTTAAGACGTACAACGACTACGGCGACGCGCGGTATCCGATCAAGAGCATCAACATCCTGAAAGCGCACGGAAAGAGCGTCAAGGAATCGCGGGTTATCAACGGCTACGCGCTGAACATGGGACGCGCCGCGCAAGGGATGGTGAAGAGCGTGAAAAACGCCAAGATCGCGTGCATCGACTTCAACCTTCAAAAGACGAAGATGCAGATGGGCGTCCAGGTTTTGGTGACGGACCCGAAAGAGCTCGAGCGGATCCGCCAGGAGGAGTTCAACATCACGGCCAGGCGCGTGAAGATGATGATCGACGCGGGCGCGAACGTCATCTTGTGCACCAAGGGCATCGACGACATGGCGTTGAAGTACTTCGTCGAAGCCGGCGCCATCGCGTGCCGAAGGGTCCCGAAGGACGACCTTCGCAGAGTCGCGAAAGCTTCCGGGGCGCAGATTCTTCTGACGCTCGCGGACATGGACGGCAACGAGACGTTTGACCCGGAGTGTTTGGGGACGTGCGGCGAGGTGTGCGAAGAGCGCGTCAGCGACGACGACATGATCGTCTTGAAGGAGTGCAAGAACACGCAGGCGTGCACGCTGCTCATCCGCGGCGCGAACGACTACATGCTCGACGAGGTGGACCGCTCGCTTCACGACGCGATCTGCATCGTGAAGCGGACGTTGGAGTCCGAGAAGGTTGTCGCCGGCGGCGGCGCCGTGGAGGCGGGGCTCTCGGTGTACCTCGAATCGCTCGCGACGACGTTGGGGTCGCGCGAGCAGCTCGCCATCGCGGAGTTTGCCGAGGCGCTGCTCGTGATCCCGAAGGTGCTCGCGGTGAACGCCGCGAAGGACTCCACGGAACTCGTCGCGAAGCTGCGCGCGTACCACCACGCGTCGCAGACGAAGCCGGAGAAGGCGCACCTCGCGGGGTTTGGCTTGGATCTCGTCTTGGGCGAGCTGAAGAATAACCTCGGAGAGGGCGTGTTGGAGCCCGCGCTGTCGAAGATTAAGAGCATCCAGTTCGCGACCGAGGCTGCGATCACGATTCTGAGGATCGACGACCTCATCAAGCTGAACCCGGAGCAGGAGCAGCAGTGAGCGGCGGCGGTGCGGTGGGTGAGAGACGAAGGAGTGAAGCGCGGCGGCGGCGGAGGGTGATTTTTTGGTTGCGGCAGGGTGAAATGAAAGCGGCAGATGCAGACGCATTCGTGGGAACTCAACATCACATTACATGTTCGTCTTCGCTCCTCACGTTGTCATCATTGCGTGCGTGGTCTTATTTACTCATCTTTATTTGTACTCTGGCGGTTGAAATACGCCGCCTTCCGTTTTTCCCTTCCCGTCGGGTCAGGTCGCGCATCGCGTCGTCCGCGGCGCGACCTGAAAAAAATCACCCTGGGAGCGCCGGCGAGATGTTCACCGCCGCGATCCCACACCCTCTACTCTATGCGTGCTGCGTGCGTCGTGCTAATGGCGTCGGTCGTCATCCCGGGGGAGGACGATCAAACGTACGATCGATCGATCGATCGTCGACTCGTTCAGTCCTTCCCGCCATCCGCGTCCGCGGCTTTCCCCCCCTTCTTCGTCGGCGACGTCTTCTTCCCGCCCTCGGCCGCAGCCTCGACATCATCCCCCTTGATCACCTTGAGCTTGTCCGCGAGCGTCTTGTTATCGGTCTCGAGGGACCCGCACGCGTCCTTTAGCCGTTTCAGCTCCGCGCGCAGGGTGATGTTTTCCGTCGACAACGCGTCGACGCGCCCGCCGAGTTCCTCGCACTCGGCCTGCTTGCGCAGCCGGCTCCTTCGCGCGGACTCGCGGTTCGACTGCTTCCGTCGCTGCCGCTTCAGCTCTCTCTCGTCCATCCACATCTCGGGTGCCCCGTTCGTGCCGTTCGTCACGCCGCCGACCCCGCCGGCTTTGGAGGCGACGGCGGCGGTTTGCGCTGCCGCGGCGCCGCTCTGCGCGCGTTGCTGCGCGGCGACAGTCTGCTGCCACTGCGCGAGCTGCGCGGGGTCGAAGCCCGTCTTCCCAGCCTCGGCCTTGACCGCGGCGCTCGCGTCGGCGCCCGCGTTCGCGGCGCCGTATCCAGCGCCCTGAGAGAGAAGAAGAGAGAGAGAGAGGGGAGGAGGTGAGCGATCGGAGAAGAGGGAAAAATATTCTTTTCGCCAGTCGTGGCTTCGCTTCGCGCGAGCGCGATCTCCGACCGCGCGGGGAGCGCCGACGCGCGGGGGAGGGTCGCCGCGACCGAGCGGACGCGCACCATGTATCCGGGGTACATGCCGTTGTACGGGTTCATCATCGCCTGCTCGGAAGGGAAGAGAGGCGAGGGGAGCGGTGAGCGCGAGACGGGGGGCGCGCGATCGCGCGATACAGCGCGGTGACGTGTTGCGCGAGGATCGCTCGCTCGCTCTCCGTCTTTCGTTCGGCGACGACGGCCGCGGGGGCGAGGGTGGGATCCATCCGCGCACCTGCGGCCACATCGCGTACGGGTTCATCTGCTGCTGCTGCTGCTGCTGCTGCGCGTAGAACTGCGCCTGGGGCTGCGGAGGAGCCTGGGGGAGAGGACGCGGGCGGGGACGGGACGTCAGCCCCGCGCGGGGCCCAGGGGGAGAGGGGCGAGACGCGAGCGAGGAGGATGCGGACGAGCGTCCTTCAACCGTCGTCGGACGGAAGACCGCGCGCGCGATACGACGCGCGCGATACGACGCGCGCCCTGGGACGGAGAGGATTACGCGTCTAGGCGCGCACCTGCATGGCGTCGATCGCCGAGCGCGCGCGGATGGAACTCGCGCGCGTCGCTTCCGCGCTGTTTCCGCGCGCGCCTGCTGCGCTTCTTCTCGCTTCGCTGCCGCGAGATTTATTACTTCTCGCGTCGACCCCGCGGGCGAATCCGAGGTCGGAACGCGCGGGGTGACGGCGAGGACGACGCTCGAAACGACGCGGAGCGACGCGATGCGCGCGAAGAGAAACTCGAAGCGAGCGCGCGTGTACTTCGCGTCGGTGGTTCTGGGTTTGCGCGGGCGTCGACGCGCCAGACGACGCGCGCGAGACGCGAAAGGCACCTCGAAACGTCGGGTTAAAACGAGTGACGTTCGTTGCGCGAGACATGTGGCGACCGCCAGCTGTCAGGTGCGTTCAATGCGAACATTTTTCACCCATCCCTCGGTTTCAATATTTGATCGCGTCCCCTTTCAACGGACCGATGAACATTTATCTAAAATTACAAGAAGCGCGTCGACCGCAGTCGCGCCAAAAATTTCTCGACCCGACTGATGAGATCTGAAAAAAAATTCCAGCACTCGGATTCCCCCCTCGCGCCTGATACTCTCCAGCTCCTCAAACGCGCTCGGCTACCTCCCCCCCGTCGCCGACGCAGTGGACGCGCTCGCCCGGGTACACGAACGCCGCGTCCGTGATCTTAACCTGATCCATCCCGCGCCGCGCGCCGCCCGCACCTCTCTCTCTCGCGCGGTTCGCCCTCGCCCCGCCGCCGCCGCCGCCGCCGCCGCCGCCCGACGCTCTCGAAGCCGCCTCGTACGCCGCCGCGGCGTCGCGCGCGGCCATCGACGCCTCCAGCGCTCGAGACGCGACCTTCCGCCCCGCGAAGAACATCACCGCGGTGTTCAGCCGCTCCTCGTACAGGCTCTGGAGCGCGTCCACGTGCGACGCGTGCGCGGCGCGAGCGGCGAACGCGGCGTCCGCGGCGTCGTCGTCGGCGTCGTCGGCGTCGGCGGCGGCGGCGGCGGCCGGGTCGGGGTCGTCGAACCGCCGCGTCGCGCCCCTCGCCTCGAGCGCGGCGACGCGCTCGACGACCGCGTCGCGCCAGCGCGACACGGGAGAGTGCATCGGGTTCGGGTCGCGCTTCCGCCGCGTTCGAACGCGTCGTTCTCGGCCGCGGTCCGGGCCCGGGTCCGTCGGCGTCTTCGCGCCGAGCCGTCGTCCGCGCGCGATCCTTCTCGGGTCGACGCGATGGATCGGCGATGCGCCGCCGCCGCCGCCGCCGCGCGAGCGCGCGAACGACGCGTCGAGCGCGGTGCCGCCGTGCGCGAACGCCCACGGCTCTTCTTCGTCGTCGTCGCCGTCGCCGTCGCCGTCGTCGCCGTCGCCGGCGGGGGTTTCCTTTTCCGTCGTCGTCGCCGCGGCGTCGCCGGCGGCGGCTCCCTCGGGTCGGTCGCGCGTCCCCTCGCGCCTCGCGGCCTCGACGTCCTCCTCCCCCCGGGGACGACGATCCAAATACGCCGCGTTCAGCGCCCTGGACAGCGCCGCGATGTCCACCTGCAGCGCGGACGCGACGGACGCGACGGCGTCGACGACGTCGTCCGAGAGGACGGTTCGCGTCGCGATCTTGCTCTTCCACCATCGCAGCTCGTCGATCGCGGCGTCGAGCGCGTCCTCCGCCGCGCGTCTGGCGCGGTCCGAGTGCCGCGGACGCATCGACGCGTTCGCGGGGGTGGGAGCGGTGGCGAGGATAGGAGCGGGGCGCGCGTCGCGCGACGTCGCGGCCGCGCGATCGCGAGTGCCGCGCGAGATCTCAACCGTCGCGCTAAATCCGTCGTTTGAGCGAGAAGCGAGTCGAGAAGCGTTCAGTGGATGACGTCTTCCGCGTGCGCTTTTCCGCGGAGGGCGCCATTCGCTCGCGCGCCCGAGAGGAGATGGGTCCTCACGCCGCGCTGAGCTCGCGAGGCGCGCTCGTGCCGTCGTCCGTCCCCGCGACGGCGGCGCGATGCCGCCGCGCGCGCGCGGACGTCGCGGTCGTCGCGGGCCGAGGGCGCGCGAAGAAGTCCGCGGCGCCGCTGTCGAAGCGCAAAAAAGCGGCGGCGGTCGCCGCGCGGACGAAGCCGCCCGCGGACGCGGTCGCGACGCCGTCGCGCGGGGGTCCGTTCGCGAACGAGACGGGGAACCGCACCCTGGACGACATCCTCGCGGACATCGACGCGGAGCCGATGGAGATCGTGAAGCCGTACCGCGGGGACGAGGAGGAGGACGCGGCGCGCGCGCCGGCCGCCGCCGGAGGGGGCAATTGGGCGGACGCGCTGTCGGAATACCGCGAGGAGACCGCCTCGGCGGAGCGCGCGAGGAACGAAGCGCGCGCGTCGGTCCTCGCGGAGGAGGAGTCCTTCTACGAGGTTGGCGACGGCGCGAACATCGTCGAGTTCGGCAAGGGCCAGGCCGCGGTGGACGACGACGACGAGGACGACGACGACGAATTCCTCGAATCTGACCTCGAGCGCAGATACCGCGAAGGCCAAGCCGTCGGCGCGGTCGAGTTCGACCTCGGCGTGGACGACGACGAGGGCTCAGAGTACGGCTGGGGCGACGACGGCGACGCCGTCAGAGAGAGAGGCCTCCCCACGGAGATGCGGTGCTTCGACACCGCGAAGATCTACGTCAAAGCCGGCGACGGCGGCCGCGGGATGGTCGCGTTTCGAAGAGAAGCGTTCGTCGCGCAAGGCGGCCCGTTCGGCGGCAACGGCGGCAACGGCGGCGCCATCTACTTCGAAGCGGACTCGAGCATCAACTCCCTCGTCGGGTTCCGGAAGAAGGTGCACCACCGAGCGGACCCGGGCGGGAACGGCGGCGGGAAAAAGATGCAAGGCTCGATCGGCGCGGACCGAACCGTGCTCGTGCCCCCGGGGACGATCGTGCGAGACGCGAAGACGGACCGGACGCTGTGCGAGATGTTCGCGCACGGGCACAGAGAGATGGTCCTCCCGGGCGGCAGAGGCGGCAGAGGGAACGCGTCGTTTAAGACAGCGAAGAACAAGGCGCCGCAAATCGCGGAGAACGGCGAGGAGGGGATGGAAAAGTGGGTCGAGCTCGAGCTGAAGCTCGTCGCGGACGTCGGCATCATCGGCGTCCCGAACGCGGGAAAGAGTACGCTGCTCGCGAACGTCTCGAACGCCAAACCGAAGATCGCGGACTACCCGTTCACGACCATCGTCCCGAACCTGGGCGTCGTCGAGCGAGATTTCGAGCGGATGGTTTTCGCGGACATACCCGGCCTGCTCGAGGGCGCGTCCGATGGCGTCGGCCTCGGGTTCGAGTTTTTACGGCACGTGAAGCGCACGCGCGTGCTCGTGCACGTCCTGGACTGCACGTCCGAGGACGTCTTGGAGGAGTACGACGCGATAAGGAACGAGCTCTTCTTGTTCGACGAAGAAGTCGGCGACAAGCCGGAGCTCATCGCGTTGAATAAAGTCGACGCGTCCGACGAAGCCGCCGAACGCGCGCTCGAGCTGCAGACCGTCTTCGAAGAACGCGGTTTGAACGTTCACGTGACGTCCGCGCTCACGGGCGCGGGCGTCGGCGAGCTCATCACCGCGGTGAAGGACATCTGGGCGTCGCTGCCGGCGATCGATTACGAGGCGGAAGCCGCGGAGCGCGCGGCGAAAAAACTCGCGCGGCCCGCGGACGGGAAGAGCCTCGACGAGTTCACGGTAACGGACACGCCGTATGCGTTTATCATCGAAGGTGCCGCGATCGAGCGGTTCGTGCAGATGACAAACTGGGACTACTTCGAGTCGTTCAAGCGGTTCGCGAGGGTGTTGCAGATGTCTGGGATCGAAAAGGCGGTGAACGACGCCGGCGCGGGAGAGGGCGATCGCGTCATCATCGGAAAGTACGAGTTCGAGTGGTCCGGGGACAGGCGAGAGAAGACGCTGTTCGACTCGTGGCGGGCGAAGATGGACGAGAAGCCCGCGGGGACGACGCAGCAAGGGTCGCGTCACTGGCCGCATTGATCGTCGCGCGCCGCGTGTGTGTATTGTGTAATCGCTGTTGCCGTGTAATTGAATGATTGAGTTTGAATCGAATCGAATCGATGACCCCGTCCCCGTCCGTCGTCGTCACATCGGCGGCGGCGGCGGCGGAGGCGGAGGCATGTCCACCTTCGGCGGCGGCGGAGGCGGAGGCGGAGCCGGCTTCGCCGCCCCGCCCCCCCCGCTCGCGCCTCGTCGCGAACGATGCGGAGTGATGATCTTCCGCCCGTTCGGTCCCTTCGCCGGACCCGTCCCGCCGCCCGTCCTCGGCTGCAGCGGCAGGTTCATCAGATCCGGCGAGTGATGCAACGCCTCGATCCATCCGAACGACGGGTTCCGCTCCCACCACCCCCCGGCGCCGTCCTCCCACGTGTCCCAATACTGGCTCCCGTCGCTGGAGTTCCCGTACTTGTGCAGACGCCCGTCCGGGTAGTGCTCCTCGCCCCAACTCTTGAGCGTGTGCTGGCCCATGGTCTCGTCCCATGTAAGGCCCTGCCGCGACCCCGCGCGGCCGTGCTCGTTGTACCCTTCGCCCCACTTTTCCTCCCATTTCTCGCCCCACGACCGCCCGGGCGCGTTCTCCATGCCTCCCTCCGAGTGATCCCTCGACGCCCACGTGTCCGTCCACTTGATGCACCCGCCGTGACCGTCCCACTTCTCGCCCCACTTTTCCGTCCACCGGTTTCCGTGGCCGTCCTCTGGAGCGGCGCCGTCCTCGAGCGCGCCGGTTTTCTCGCAAAAACGATCGACGGTGCCATCGGCGCGGTAGTCCTCCGTCCACCCTTCGCTCCACGCCGCGCCCTTCGGGGTGTGCGACCACTTCGACGCCTCTCTGTGGATGTACGGAATTTTGTTCACCTCGTGGACGTACATCTCCTTCCACGACTCCTGCCACGCCTGCCCGTTGCTGTCTCTTCCGGACTTCACCGCCCCGAGCTCGCGGTACGTGAACGAGTCGGACGTCTTCCACCACCGCTCCTCCCACTCCACGGCGCCGTCCGCGGACGTGCCTCGGATGCACGTCCACGACATGACCTTCCCGCCTTCGAGTTTATCTTCGCCTTCTTCGCGCCACCACCGCGCGCCGGAGGAGAGCACGCCTTCCTTCTCCGCGCCCTCGCCGGCGCCGAGCTCTCGAACCGCGGACGCGAGGGCGTCCTCGATGGAGGCTTCGATGGACGCCCCCGCGGCGATCTGTTCCGCGGTCGCGGGCGCGGCCATCATCGGCGCGGGCGCCCCCGGCGCGGCCGCGAGGTTCATCGCGCTCGTGAGCTGGGACACCTCGTCGGAGCCGCTCTCCACGACGGACTGAAACTCGGGTAAGACGGCGTTTTGCGCCTCGACGACGGATTGAAACTGCGGGAGCGTCCTCTCCGGCGCGCGTTCCATGAGCATCACCTCGCGCTCGACCGCGGGGGCGGTCGGGAACTCCAGACGTTTCTTCTGCATCTTGGGCGGGTAGTAACTCGACGCGCTCGTCGGCGACCCGCCGGGCTGCGGGGTGAAATCCACCGGCGCCTCGGGCGGGGTCCAGTCCCAGAAATCGCCGCTGAAGTCGATGTCCTTCCCGCCCGTCTCGCGGCTCGACTCTCTCGACCGCTTGTGATCCAAATCCCCGCCGCCGAGGGTGGCGACGCCGCTGCCGACGCCGCCACCGCCGTAGTACTCCGAGTTGAACTTCTTCGCGCGCTTGTTGTACTCGCGCATCGCCATCGCCGCGCGCGCGGCGGCGTCCTCGCTCGCCGCCGCGGACGCCGCCTTCACCCTCGTCGTCGGGTCCATGTTTTGCAAATTCAAGTTCAAGTTCGCCGCGTTCTGCGCCGCGTAGTCGCTCGGCACGGTGGATTCGCTCGCGCCCGACGATGAAGCGTTCCTCTTCGCCGACTCCGCCGCCGCCGCCTGGGACTCCTCGACGCTCTGCTTCTCCGCGTCCTCGTTCCTCCCGCCGACGCCGGGCTGGACGGTGAAGATGCCGGTGCTGTTCGCCGCCCTCGCCGCGGCGATGGCCGCCTGCGCCCGCTCGACGGTCCCGATCGGCGTCGCCGCGCGCTCGAAGAGGTCCAACACCTTCGCGGTTCTCTCCTCGCGGCCAACCTTGGCGAGATCCACGGCGTCGTCCGGGGAGTGGAAGGGCCGCGCCGTCTGCGCGCGCTGCGCTCGCCTCTGCGCCTCCTCCGCCGAGATCACCTCCGCGGGGGCGCTTGCGCTCGGGTACTCGTGGGTGAACTCCGCGGTCATGAGCGCGTCGATCTCGCAGTCGTCGTCGTCGCAATCTCTCTTCTCGGGCGCGGGAGGAGGCCGCGGCCGCGGCCGCTGCGGCGCGGCGGATTCCACGTCGCTCTGCATCGGCGGGAGGCCCCCAGACGACGACGGGGGGCGCCTCGGAGGCGCGGGGGTGTCGCTCTGGTACGGCGGGAGGCCCGCGGGGCGCGTCGCGCGCCCGCGGCGGAGACGCGATCTCGACGCGCGGAGAGCGCCCCCCGGGGTCCCGCGTCCGCATATAAAAAGATGCGACGAGGCGACGGACGCGGACGCGGACATCGCGCGCGCGGGGTCGCGGGGACGCCGCCGCCGCCTAGAATGCGAAGATCCGCGAGATCGCGCGTTCGCGAGGTCGCTCGCGGGAGAGACGAAGGGTCGCGCGCGCGCGCGCGTCGGAGTGCGAAAGGGCGCGAGGGGGATCAACGTCTCACTTTGCTGCTGAGTTGTCACTCGTCCTCGTCACGCCCAAAAGCACCGAGAAAACTAACATCGGCACGCACACAACCGCATGCGAGCGCTGTTCTTCGCTCGTTTCAACGGCGGCAGCTTCGGCGCGGGAGGACCCAAGCGCAGCCTCGACGCTAAGAAGCGATCCCCGCCCGCGCCGACATCGTCCTCGAGCCTCAGGTTGCCCGGTCCCGGCGGCGATCCAGGATTCGGCGTTCGCCCTAATAATCGGCGAAACCTCAGATCCGAGCGCGTCCTCCGAAGAAGCCAGCCGTCCAAACGCGCGCCGTCGACGACCGCGAAATCGACGACCGCGAACCAAGTCCTCGACGTCTTAGGCCTCGGCCCGAACGGCATGAATTACATCCTCCCCGGGACGCATATCATGACGCAATCGTTGGGAGGCGCCGCGGTCGTCAACTTCGGTCTGCAGCTCGTCGGCTGGGCCTTCGCGTCCGCGCTCAAGACAGAGAAGTTTTACGACCTCTTCGGCAGCCTCGCGTTCGCGTCCACGGCGGCGATGACGTTCGCATCGTCGTCGCACCACCCGCGTCAGACGATGGTGACGTCCATGGTCTGCGCGTGGACGATACGTCTGGGCGTCTTCCTCGTGCGAAGGGTCCTCCGCGACGGCGGCGACTCGCGATTCGACGAGGTGAAGCACGACCCGGCGACGTATTTCGTGTACTGGATGATGCAAGGCGCGTGGGTGTTCGTCACCGCGCTGCCGTGCTACCTCATCAACGGCGTCGCGAGTCAGCGAGCGCTGCACGCGGGGGATTACGTGTCCCTGATCGTGTGGTTCTTGGGGATCGCCACGGAGACGGTCGCGGACGTGCAAAAACAGATTTTCAAGAGAGACCCGGCGAACAGAGGGCGGTTCATCGACAGCGGGCTGTGGAGCCTCTCGAGGCATCCGAACTACTTCGGCGAGATCGTGACGTGGTGGGGCGTCTGCGGCGTCGCGCTGAGCATGAATGCGACGCCGGCGACGTCCGCGTGCTCGCTGTTATCGCCGATATTCGTGACGTTACTCATCACGAAAGTCTCCGGCGTGCCTCTGTTGGAGAAGTCCGCGGACGAGCGGTGGGGCTCCGAGGCGGGGTACCAGGCGTACAAGCGGAACACGCCGTGCTTGATCCCGAAGCTCCCGGGGACGGGGAACCGAGCGGACTGATCAAAGATCGGTGGGTGGGTGATTCGGTGGTGATTCTTTGTGATGTGTCGCGTTACAAACGCGTCGTCGTACTGCGTACGGTGGTGAAACGCACGTCGTTCTTTCTATAATTCGACTGCGCCCGGAACTCGAGACTCATCACGCCATGTAAATGTACAGCCGCCGGTCGTTCCGATCCCTCTCGATGAACTCCCTCTCGATCAGGTTCTCCAGATGCTTCTTAATATCCGCCAGGTCTGGGATAAACCGCGACGAGAGCTGCTTCGTGACCTCCTGAACGACGCTGTTGTGGTCTAACCGCCTCCGCGCTTTCATGATGCGCACGATCGCCGCCTCAATCTGCGGCTTCCGATCGTCGTCGATCCGCCTCCGCGTCTGCATCTTCTCCGGCTCCGACTCCTTCTGCGCGCTGACGGTTCCGATCTTCACCTTGAGCAGCTTGCTCGTGAACTTGTCGTTGAACGCGAACACGTCGTCGTCGTTCACGTCCCTGGACATCGGCTCTTTCCTTAACACGTTCCTCCCCTTCACGCACGCGAGCGATTGCAGCGTGCGCTTCAAGTCGACCGCGGGAATCGCCGTCGCGGTCGCGATGTCCTTGTACCCGATCTCGTCCTGGTCGTTGAAGAGCAACAGCACGCACATCGCGTACGTGCTGACGCTGAGCTCGCGCTTCACCCCGTCCGCGAACGTCGCTCTCAGATCCGCGGAGCCCATGGACGTCAACCAATACAGCCGCCGGCCGCTGTGCGAGGCCAGGTAAAAGTTCTTGAACGCCTCGCACGCCGGCTGGAGCTGCGCTGGGATCGTGCACGTGGTCGCCCCGGTGTTCCCCGTCATCGGCCACGACCCGGTGGTCAGGACTTGCACGTCGAGGTCGACGCCGCCGAGGTGCGCGGCGAGACCGCCGCCCCGCGTCCACGCGCCCGCGCCCGCGCCCGCGCCGCCGCCGCCCGCGCCGCCGCCGCCTCCTCCGCCGCCGCCGCCGCCGCCGCCGCTCCCGCCACTCTCCTGCGCGTCCATGGGGGATAATCCCGTGGTCGACACGCTCACGCTGCCGTCGCCGCCGCCGCCCTTCGCCTTCTCCTCTACGTGCGTCCGGAACGACGCCATCGTGTCCCGCGATATGCGTATGTCGTTGAACATCCCCTCAATCTTCGACGTGAATTGGTACCCGCAGTCCGTCTTGAGCTTCACGATGAAGCTCCGCTCCGCGTCGTCGCTCGTGGTCTTCCCCCCCAGCAGACGCTTCGCGAGGTGATGCTTGTAGTACTTCTCGAACACGTCCTTCTCTTGTAAGAACCGGAACAGAATCATGACCTTGTCGAGGACGACCTCGACGTCGTCCTCGCTCGCGCCCTTCAGCCCCTTGCGGAGCTTATCGTCCACGTACAGCGATATGTACTCCGGGCTCCGGTTGTTCATGTTTATGAACGTCTCGAACGCGCCGTGCAGCGCGTTCACGAACGACCGGCATCCCCCGAACGCGTGTTTTATGACCCCGTCGTACTTGTCCTTCAACTTCAGCAAACCCTCCACGTACGCGTTCGGATCTTTCCCCTTCTCCGGGTCCAGCACGAGCGCCTTCCCTTCCTCCTTGACGTGCTCCGCCATCATCTCCTTGAGCGTCTTCACGCCGTCCTTCACGTGCGAGAACAGCTTGTGCATCAGCGCGAGCTGCTCGTGTTTATCGTCCCTCAGAGAGCTCACCACGCCCCCCGTCCCGAGAGAGAGCACGGCGCGCATCGGCTTGGCGAGCAGCTCGTTCACGACGCAACTCACCGCCGCGCCCTCGGTCCTCTTCTGTAGGTACTCCTTCACTCGGAGCTGCTCCTCCTCTAACCGCGACTCAGATCGAAGCAGGTAATCCCGGCAATCGTTGGACGACAAAAACGTCTGCGACTCGGCGCGATAAAAATCCTTCGTCGACGACACGTACGGCTCCTCAAAGTCGTTCACGTACACGTCCTCTCCCAAGTCCATGAGCATCCCGCACGTCGCTCGCACTAACCCCTGATCGATCTGCTCCCCGCGGCGTTCGCGGTTGACGCTGTTCACGAGCGTCGCGCGGACGCGGTTTTTTATCGACGGCCGTCTCGCGACGTGATCGCGCCACAGCGCCAACCCGAGCTCGTGCACGGGCTGGAGGCCGTTCGGCACCGCGTATATCCGGTCCATGTACATCATGATGTCGCGAATCATGGACATGGACTTGACGTGCTCGCGCCAGCGGCGCTGGAGCTCCGGGAGAAAGCCGTCTCCGAGCGTCGCGTCGATCTGCGACGCGACGTCTTTGAGGTGGTCCGCGATCGTCTCCGCGAGGCCGTCGTAGAGCGTGCGTCCGTGACGGTGCAGGACCATGTTGTACGCGTTCCGGTAGAGCTCCTCGAAGGATAAGCCGGACGCGTTGCGGTGGTTGATCTCGTGGATCGCATCTTTGAGGACGGCCCAGATCTTGTCGCCGTACTGCGCGCGGGAGGGAGGGCGGGAGGGAGGGAGGGGGGGAGGCGGACGCTCAGATTCGCGCGGTCGTGGTTGGACGCGAGCGAAATTCCTCCCGGGAGGAAATGACAACGCGACGCGACGCGACGCGACGCCGAGGGGACGAGTCGAGGACGCACCCCCGGCTCGAGCTCGACCTTGTGCTTGAACGGCTCGATTCGGAACCCACGGGCCTTGCCGCTCATCTCTCTCGCGGGGATGTCGCACGCCCGCGCCCGTGCGCCCGCGTCGAATGGCCCGCGCCCTTTCGTTCGCTCGGTGGGTTTTCGTTCTACCACGAAAACCTCGCTTCGAGATTCTCCCAACCCGGGATTCCGGGCCGGGCAGCGCTGAGCCGAGACCGGTGAAAATCAGGGTGAAAATCGGCCAGCACGTGGGTCAGCGAGCTTTTCTACTTTGAAAAACGTGACATTTTGACCGGATGGATCAGGGGTCGAATGCGGCGAACGCTCGCGCGCGCGGTGACCCCCGCATCGTCGAACACCCCGAGAGAGACCGACCGACGCGCGAAGACACGCCATTGCGACGCGCGCGCGCCCATCCCGCGCGCCACACGCGAACACACATCGCGCGTCGACCTTTACGGTCCGTTCGCGTCGTCGAACGACCGCACGCGCGCGCGCGACCGCGCCGCGCCCGCGTCCCGCGCGCGTCGCTCGCTGTCGTACCCCCCTCGTGTCACGAGATTTAACGCCGCGGAGAGCGATGGGAAGCGCGCGAGACTTCCTCGCGGGCGCGCGCGCGCGCGGGATCACGTCCCCGGCGCCGATGCGCCGCCGCCCTAGACCCGGACCGGTCGTGGAATCCGCGCAGCTCGCGCCGAGCGACGACGAGCTCGAGGCGCTGCCGCCGTCGCTCCCGGAGAGCGAGACCGACGTGAACGAGCTCCCGCCGTCGCTGCCGGAGTCGGACGCGGAGGACGACGTCTTCGCGAGCGCGCCGTCGCCGTCGCCGCCGCCCGCGGTCGTGGACTCGCCGGCGGCGTCGCCGCCGGCGGCGATCGTGCCGTCGCCGTCGCCCGTCGCCGCGGCGGCCGCGCCGTCGCCGCTCCCGTCCTCTCCCGCGTCGGTGAGACGAGATTCCCGGGGCCCTCCGCGTTTGGTTAATCATCGATGAATGACCTTTTCGCGTCGCCGCCGCCGACGCGTCGCGCCCTCCCCGCGGTCCCTCGACACCTCCTCTGACCTGACCCCTTCCTCCATCACCCCTTCCTCCGCGCGAACAAACGCGACAGACTACCGCGCCGGTGAATTTCGGGATCGACGCCGAGGTGGCCGCGGCGGAGGCGCCGCCGGCGAGAAGTCCGACCCCGGAGACCGTCCCCGCGGCGTCCCCGTCCCCGACGACGCCGGCGGCGGCGAGCCCGGCGGCGGCGGCGGGTGGATTCGGCATCGACGCCGAGGTCGCCGCGGTCGCGGCGCCGAGCCCGAAGCCCGGGTTCTTCAGCTCGATGTACGAGGCGCCGGCGGCGGCGCCGGCGTCCCCCGCGGCGGCGCCGGCGTCCCCCGCGGCGGCGCTGGAGCCGGCGGCGGCGGCGGCGACGTCTCCCGCGCCCGCGACGACGACGAGCCCGAAGCCAGGAGGATTCTTCAGCTCGATGTACGAGAACCCGGCGGCGACCCCGGAACCCGCGGGCCCCGCGAAGGATGTCGGCCTCGCCGCGGAGGTTGACGCGGAGAAGTCGTTCGGGCTGCGAGCCGAGGTCGCGGCGACGGAGGCGACGGAGGCGCCGCCCGTCGTCGCCGTCGCGTCGCCCGCGGACGCGTCGCTCGCCGCGGCCGCCGCGGCCTCGTCCTCGCCCGCGGCGGCGGCGGCGGCGCCGACGGGCGTGGACCCGTGGGCGGCACGGCCCGCGGACGCGGCGACGGCGGGGAGCGAATCGACCCCGGCGGCGGCGCCGGCGGTGGCGCCCGCACCGTTTTCGTCCCCGATCGCGTCCGAATCCGCGGCGGCGTCGACCGCGGCGGTCCCGGGATCCCCCGCGGCGATCTCCGACGCCCCCGCGGCTGCCGCCGCGGTGTCCACGCCCCCGGCGTCGCCGTCCCGCGCGATCCCCGCGACGTCCGCGGGCAAGCCGCCGCCGTCGCCGGAGACGACGAGCCGGCAGCAAAACGCGCTCGCGATGGCGATCAAAAAGGTGTCGGACGCGCCGTCGTCCGACGCCGCCCCGAAGACCGCGGCGCAGGTCGAGAAGGCGACGTCGTTCATCACCGCGCTCCGCGACGCCGCGCCGTCGACGCCGGCGCGGACGCGGCCGCTGTCGAAAGCGGACGCGCTGTCGATCCGCGTCCACAGCACGTCCCCGCTCGTCCCTCACGCGGTTTTACTCAACCCGGTGATCCGCGTGCACCTCCTCGACGCCGAGACGGGGCTCATCATCAACCCGAGCGGGCTCGCGACGACGCCGCTGCAGTCCGCGCCGTTTGACTTATCCCGACGCATAAAGTCCGCGTTCGCCGCGGAGTGGGAGGAGACGATGGACGTCGAAGAAGAACTCGGCGGGTTGCTTCACGCGCGCGCGGTGTTGTTGTTTGAACTCCTTCAGCCGCCGCCGAGCTTTTCGTACTACGAGGAACGCCCGGAGCTGTTCCCGAACGGGAACCCGCACAGGATCGCGTGGGGTTTCTTGAAGCTGATCCGGACCAAGGACGACCAACCCAACCTCGGCCGGCTGCAGCTCCAGCTGTACAAGTACGGAAGAGAGCCCGTCGGCGCCGGCGGCGGCCTCCGCAAGAGCTTCTCGCGCGGCGGCGGCGGCGGCGGGAACGCCGACGCCCTCGAGGAGTCCGCCGGCCCGCAGCCGGAGGTGTGGCACTGCTACAAGGCTGTGACGCGGATGCAGCCGAATCAGCGGCCGCTGTACCCCGCGCACGTCAACGTCACGATCGCGTCCGCGCCGCGCGGCGACGCGGCGACGGCGCTCCTCGCCGCGTCCGCGGCGGCGGCGCCGACGATGCGTCCGCTCGCGATCGGTCCCGCGGTGCCGAGCAGCAGCGGCGGGGAAGCGCGCGCCGCGGGCGGCCGGCCGACGCGACGCGAGCGCATCGTCCGGGAGAGAACCCTCGGCGGGGGGTGGCAGACGGCGGAGCAAAGACTCGCGTCCGCGCCGCCCGAGGACATGATGGAAGTCGCGCAGAGCCTCGGACGCGTGCCGTACGAGACGTTGTGCTACGGCATGGACCCGGCGGCGGCGCACGCGCACGCGCTCGCGTCCATCGGCGCGGAGGACGGCTCGATGACCGCCGCGATCGCCGGGAGCGCGTTGAAGCGCGGCGCCGGGTCGATCGTCTCGCCGTCGCGGGACGATCAACCCGCCGTCGTCGCGAAGCTTCCGTACGCCATCGCGGAGCACGACGAGTGCGAGATTCCAAACGTCGCCGCGAGGACGCAAGCGACGCTGCCGACGTCGGCGCGAGAGGTGCTCCTCACCGCGTTCGACTCCACCGGGCGACGCCTCGCCGCGGTGTGCCGGGAGGGGTCCATGTGCACGCTCAGGGTGTTCGACGCCGCGACCGGGGAGTTACGCCAGACGTTCCCCGGGCACTGCGCCGCCGTGCACGACGTGTCGTGGGCGCCGACGATCGAAGACGACGACGACGACGCCGCCGCCGCCGCGCCGAGCCCAACGCGCGGCGCGGTGGACTACGCCTCCGCGGGCGCGCCGACGCGCGTGATGACCGCCTCCGCGGACGGCGCGGCGACCGCGTGGGCGGTCGGCGGGGGTCCTGACGCGATCGCGCAGCACGCGTGCGAGTGCTTCGCCGCGCAGTGGCACCCGACGACGCGGGACGTGTGCGCGACGGGCGCGAGGGACGGCGGGATACGGCTGTGGCTCGTGCCCCCGGCGAACCGAGGCGGCGGCGACGCGAAGGTTCTCGCGTCCGTGGCGCCCGGCCGCGGCGCCGCGTGCACGGCGCTCGCGTTCGATAAGGCTGGCGCGCGTCTCTACGCCGGGTTTCACGACGGGAGCGTCCGCGAGCTCATCCTCGACTTGGGCGTCGACGCCGGCGCGAAAAAGTCGCCGTACAGCGCGCGGGAGCTCGCGCCGCGGTCGCTGATGCGCCCGCTTCGCGAGTGCAAGGACACGATGGGCGAGGCCATCACGTGCGTCCGCGTCGCGCCGAACAACCGCAGAGTGTTGACGCGAACGCTCGCGGATCGCGTCGTGAGCATGGACCTGACCTACTTTGCCGCGACGCACTCGTTCGACTGCGGCCGCGACGACCGCAAAGCCAAGGCGTCGTCGACGACGGAGCGCGTCGCCGCTAACGCCACCGCGAACGCGAACGACGGAGCCTCCTTTAAGCACCCCGGAGCGTCGATGCGATTCGCCCTCTCCCCCGACGGACGGTTTGTCGCCGCGGGGTCGAGAGACGGCACCGCGCGCGTGTTCGACGTCGACGTCCCGGGGAAGGGGGTGCCGTTCGCCGCCGCGGAGGATCCAAACGCGCTCGGCGTCGCCGTCAACGACGTCGCGTGGTCGCCCGCGGCGCACGTCGTCGCGATCGCGGGCGCGCACGGGTCGCGCGGGTTACGTCTCGCGGCGTATCAGGACGGCCGGAAGCCGGTCGCGAGGCCGCCGCGGCCGGAGGCGATCATCATGGGCCGACCGACGAGTTTGGCGAGCGCGAAGAAGACGCGCGAGGCGTCTGGGTTGGGCGCGCTGCAACGACCGCCGCGGTCGGAGCTCCCGCCGCGTCTGACCCCGGACGCGGTGCGCGATATCCTGCACCGAGTGCGGGTGGACTCGAGGTTGGATCGCGCGGAGTTTACGTCGGAGTACCGCAGGAGTAGGACCGGGACGACGCCGCGAGGGAGCGCGTACGAGAGGCTCGGGAGGGGGTCCTCGGGCGGCGGGGGCGGCGGCGATGTCGCGGCGGAGGCGCCGGCGCGGGATCCGGTCAAAGCCGCGGAGGACGCGCGCGTGATGGCCGCGTACCAGATGCAGGAGACGTCGGAGAAGGAGAACAACGTGCGCGTCGGCGGGCGCGCGACCGCCGCCGCCGCCGCTGCCGCCGCGGGCGCGGGCGCGGGCGCGGGCGCGAAGTTTGATCCGTATTCGCCGGATGTTCCGGCGGGGGGAAAAACGGCGACGACGGGCGGGGGGTTCGGGAGCCCGACGGTGGTCGGCGAGGATACGTCCGCAGACGCGTCCGCGCTGGAGAAGATGCTGTACGGCAGCGGGGGGGCGTGAGCGTCCGCGCGTCCGCGTCGTAGTGTACATGTAACGAGCGAATAACTTATTATCACGTGAGCGTTCCGTTCGGTCCCGCAGCGCACGCGCAGCGCAACCGAGGCGAGGGCGTGCTGTGGACCGAATCCGAAAGGGGAAAAGAAATCTCGTCTCGCTCGCGACACATCGCCGCGCACGAGAGCGCGATGCGCGGCCTCGTGTGGACCGCCGGGGACGGCGTGACCTCGGTCACGTCCCCCGGGACCTCCTCGTCGATGCCGAAGGACGCGTACAACGACCCGCTCGCGCGGAAGCGCGCCATCTTACGCGCGCTCTTCGGCGGGGACGAGCGACTCCGCGGGGGCGCGATTCGTCACCGCGCCAAGGCGGGGAACCTCCAGCTCCGGCACGTGGACGACGACCTCGACGAGCCGCCCGGGATCGCGGACTTCCGCCGCGCGGCGTCGTACTGCCACGACCGAGGCATGCTTCGGTATCTCGAGACGGCTTGGGAACGGTGGGCGGCGACGCCCGAGGAGGAGCGATGCCGTTTTTTTCGACGCGCGACGAGCGCGGCGTCCGACGCGTCGTCGTCGACCCCTACCCCATCCGACGCCATCCCCGCGCTCGTCCCCGCGAACTACTGCGCGCGGCACGACGCCATCACGCGTCCCGGCGCGAACCTCCACTCGCAGACGTGCTACTACCACACGGACGACGACACCCCGATCTTCGAAGGCTTGCTCGGGCAGCTCGTCGCGGACGCCACCGTCGCCGTCGCGTGCGCGGCGCACGTCGTCGTCCAACGCGAACGCCTCGCGCGCTTCGATCGCACGTTAAACGACGACCCAGTGGACGCGTTCTATCACTACGCGTGCGTGAACCACCCGGGGCATCACGCGGGGAAGAGCACGATGGGGGGGTACTGTTACGTGAACAACGCCGCGATGATCGCGAGGGTGATTCAAGAGCATCACACGCTGAGGAACCCGGATCGCGCCAAGCCGGTGAACGTCGCGATTCTGGACGTGGACTACCACGCCGGGAACGGCACGGCGTCGATATTCTGGGAGGACCCCACGGTCTTCGTCGCGTCCATACACGCGGACCCGAACGGCGATTATCCGTGGAATGCGTGCTTCGAGGACGACGTCGGCGGCGGCGACGGCGAGGGGTTCACGAGGTGCGCGCCGCTGCCCAGGCGCGCGGGATGGGACGTCTACGAGCCCGCGCTCGCGGGGTCGCTCGACGCGATCAAAGCGCAGAGGCCTTTCGCGTTGATCGTGAGCCTCGGTTTGGACGCGCACGCGGACGACCCGGTGCAAGAGAAGGCGACCGCGGGGATGGAGTTGACGGTTGATGATTATTTCAACGTGGGACGGATGATCCGCGAGACCGCGGACGCGGTGGACGCGACCGTGGTGTTCGTGCAGGAGGGCGGGTATCAGGTCGAGGTCGCGGGCGAGCTCGTGAGGACCGTGTTTAAAGGGTTCGAAGCGGGGGGGGTGTCGATAGCCGGATAGTTCGTCGCGGAAAAAACGCATCAGAGCTTTTTCTGCGACGAGAGTCGTGATGAGTCAGCGAGACGCGCTCGCGCTCGCGGCCGGTCCGAGAAACCACGATTTTAAACGAAGACCAAATGCCGCGACCGCTACCGCGCGCGCGCGTCACTACGCCCGCGCCCTCCCCCCGCGCTCGCGCCCGAGCACGATGGGGGACAAGATGGAGCGCGCGGTGCGAGCCATCGAGCGCGCGCGCGACGAGCTCGCGGCTCAGGACAAAGAGCGAAAGACGACGCTCGCGACGGACTTGGACCTCGCCACGATCGTCAAGCGCGCCGAGGCGAAGTCGTTCGCGTCTCCCGAGGACGTCCTCGCCGCGGTCGCGGTGACCTGGCGGGAGTCGCACGTCACCGCGCAGGCGGCGGTGAACGCCGCGAATAAGCGCGCGGCGACGACGGCGTTAGAGGGCGTCGCCGACCTCGCGGACGCGGTCGTCCTCATCCAGCGGATCTGGCTCGACGAGGGTCTGTTCGGATGCCCGCTGAACGACGACGACTACCAGATGCACGCCGCGGAGATGGACCACAGGAAAGTCAAAACCGCGCTCGCGTCCATGGAGCGATGGACGCAGCGGAACTTCTGGGACGGCTTCCTCCCCGTCGTGAAGGACGTCAAGGAGGAGGTGGCGAAGAAGCGCGACGGGAAATATCGCACCTACGCGCAAGTCTTGGACGCGCTCGATCGCATCCAGACCGACGCCGCGGAGGCGCTGCGCGCGAAAGTGAAGGGCGGGATGTCCCGCGCGAAGAAGGAGCAAGAAGCGCAGGACGCGGAGGACGCGGAGGACTACCTGAAGGCGATGAAGAAGTGGTTGCGGGAGAAGTGGCACACGGAGAACGGGCTGCCGTTGCCGTCGCCGACAGCCGCCGCCGCCGGGGACGGGGACGCGGGGGGATCCCCGGGCGCGGGTCCGAAGCGGCGCGGGTCCGTGGGGGGACGGAGCGCGGGGAAGAGGAAGAGGTACGCCGAGGACGATTCCGACGCGGATTTTTCGATGGGCTCCGACGACGAGTCGAACTCGGACTCGGAAGACGGCGACGACGACGACGATTCCGACGCCTCGGAGGCGGCGGACGAGCCCCAGCCGAAGAAGCGTCGCGGACGGCCTCCAGGGTCGAAGACGGGGTCGGCGGCGGCGAAGGCAGCGGCGGCGGCGGCGGCGGCGAAGGCGGCGGCATCAGTGCCGTCGTACGGCGGCGGCGGCGGCGCGTGGGCGAGCAGTCAGCCGCCCGCGGCTCCGACGGGGGCGGTGCCGCCCGGCGCCGTCGTCTCCGCGTTTCACGGGGAACGCGCGGTGCTCGTAAAGATCAAGTGCCACGGCCTCCAAGCCACCGCGCTGCTGCGCGTCCCGAAGGGTAGCAGCGGTCAGAGCGGCGCGGCGGTGAAGGCGGCGCCGCCGTCCCCGCGCGCGCAGATCCACGCGCCGACGCCGCGGTCGCCGCCGCCGGGAAAACCGGCGTTCGTCCCCGTCGCCGCGTCGCCGCACGCGCCGACGCCGTACGTCCAGGGCGTCGGCGAGCGGTGCGCGCGGAACGACGGGAAGACGTGGCGGTGTAAGATGACCGCTATCGAGGGCGCGTCGTTCTGCGCGCATCACCGGCAGAAAGGGAACGCGTCGCCGTCCCCGGCGCAGTCGCCGTCGCCGGCGCCGAGGCCGCCGCAGACGCGGGCGGAGGTGGCGGCGAAGGGCGTTGGGTCCGATGCGGGGCCCGGCGTCGCGTCGAAAGCGCCCGCGGCGACCGCGGGGGACCCGGTGACGATTCGCATCCTCGCCGTCGCGGGCGCGCCCACGGACGGCGACCCCGCGAGCGCGCTGGCGTCCCCCGCGGCGTTTGAAAAACACGCGTTCGGCATCGCGCGCGAGGTGGAGCGCGAAGGCGGCGCCGTCGCGACGCGCGCGGCCCCGCCGCCCGGAGACCCCGACGCCGCCGACGACGCGACCGGCGACGCGTACTTCCGCGCGAACGCCGTCGTGTACGAGCGAGAGCACGTCTGGACGCCGTTCCCCGCGTACGAGCGCAAGCTGTTGGGGACCACGGACGCGTCCTTCGCCGAGGGGGTGGGGAAGCCGCAGGCGCAAAACGCCTTCTCGAGCGCGAGCGCGGAGGCGCAGCGGTCGAAGGACCGCGCCGCGCAGCACGCGGACGCGTTCGAGCGGCACAGAGACGCGGCGCGGGGTGATGGGGTTGGCAGGGCGCGGGCGATCAGGGAGCAGCTGAAGCGGTGCGCGGAGTACGTCGACGACGTCGACCGCGACGTGCGTTTGCTTCGCGACGACTGCGAAAACTACGGACGCGAGGGGTTTGAGATTCGGAAGAATTCGCAGACCGCGGCGGCGATGATGGCCGGCGGCGCGGGCGGGAGTGATTACGTCGAGTACACCGAGAAGATCGACCGCGCGATCATCCTCACCGCGAAGTGGGCGTGACGACGCGAAAGTAGCCCCTACCGTGTAGTACGACTCGAGAAACCGAAAAAAATCATGACCTCACGTACTTCAGACACGCGCTTTCGGAGCCAATCTCGTCAACGTTTTTCACCCGTCCCTCGGTTTCAACATTTGATCGCGTCACCTTTCAACTGATCGATGAACTTGATCGGCACTGACAATCTCGAAGCGACGCGGGGTGCCGAGCAAATAATCCATCCGCGAACGGGTCGCGATCGTGCTGACGTGCCGACGCGGTGCGACCCCCGCGCACTCCCCCGCGCGCGCGCACGCTCCCCGAGCGAGTCGCCGACGAGAACCATATCCCACTTCGCCCGTCTCGCGAGACGCGCAGCCGTCGCCGTCGAACGCGCGCTTCCTCACCCCGGGTCCGTCGCGCCTTTCCGCGCGCCCCAGCAGTGCCTCCATCCCAAACGCGAGTTAACCTTCTTTCGAGAACCGCGCACGATGTCGACGATCACCGTCGATAACATCAACGCCAAGGTGCGCGAGATGCAATACGCCGTGAGAGGCGCGATCGTGCAGCGCGCGGGCGAGATCGAGGACGGGCTGAAGGCGGACCCGTCGAAGTATCCGTTCGATAAGGTGGTGTACTGCAACATCGGAAACCCGCAGTCGCTCGGGCAGAAGCCCATCTCGTTCTTTCGCCAGGTCCTCGCGTTGTGCGATTACCCGGACCTCCTCCTCGCGCCCGGGATCGAGAAGACGTTCCCGGAGGACGTGAGAAAGATCGCGAAGGATATCCTGGACAACACCACGGGCGGCACCGGGGCGTACTCCCACTCCCAGGGCGTGGCGTTCATGCGTAAGATGGTCGCGGCTGGGATCTCGGATCGCGACGGGCACCCGTGCGACGTCAACGATCTGTGGCTCACCGACGGCGCGTCCGTGGGCTGCCACTACCTCATGAAGACGCTCATCACGGACGAGCGCGACGCGGTGTTGACGCCGATCCCGCAGTACCCTCTGTATTCCGCGTGTCTCGCGCTGTACGGCGGGACGTTGCTGCCGTATTACCTCCGCGAGGAGCAGGGTTGGGCGCTCGACGTGGCGGAGTTGAAATCGCAGACGGACAAGGCGAGAGGCGAGGGGAAGAACGTCCGCGCGCTCGTGATCATCAACCCCGGGAACCCGACCGGCGCGGCGCTCGGTTTAGATAACCAGAAGGAGATCGTGCAGTTTTGCAAGGACGAGGGCATCCTCCTCGTCGCGGACGAGGTGTACCAAGAGAACGTGTACGCCGAGGGTAAGAGCTTCACGTCTTTCAAAAAAGTCGTCCGCGACTTGGGCGTCGACATCCCGATCGTTTCCCTGAACAGCACGTCGAAAGGGTTCTTCGGCGAGTGCGGCCGCCGCGGCGGGTACATGGAAGTGTGCGGGATCGACAAGGGCGTCGCGGAGCAGCTGTATAAGCTGTCGTCGGTCGGTTTGTGCTCGAACCTCGCCGGGCAAATCGTGATGGCGCTCGTGATGAAGCCCCCGAAGGAAGGCGACGCGTCGTACCCGCTGTACAAGCAAGAGAAGGACGACATCTTGTCCTCGTTGAAGCGCCGCGCGGTCACGCTCGTGAACGGCCTGAACGCGCTCGAGGGCGTGTCGTGCCAGGAAGCCGAGGGCGCGATGTACGCGTTCCCGAAGATTGACCTTCCCGCGAAGTTTTTAAAAGAAGCCGAGGGCAGCGGCATGGCGCCGGACGCGTTGTATTGCATGCGTCTGCTGGAAGCGACCGGGATCGTCGTCGTCCCGGGCAGCGGGTTCGGCCAGGTAGAGGGGACGTGGCACTTCAGGACGACGTTCCTTCCCGCGGAGGCGGACATCGAGGGCGTCGTGCAGAAGATGACCAAGTTCCACGGCGATTTCATGGACGCGTACAGGAATTAAAGGAACGAAACGCGACGATTTCGTTTTCATCGTCGAGTATTATCGAGGGAGGGCGTCTAGCCCTACGACGACACGACGTGTTGTGACTGAATTTTTAACAAAAACAAACTTGCGTGTGTACTGTACAAATCGTGACGAAGCGATCGTATCCTCGTCTCTCGCCGGCGGCGGCGGTCTCGTCGTTTTTTTTTTCACCGCTATCACACGCCGCCGGTGCTGTGCCAGCAGTCCCTCGCCCAGTGCCCGGGCTGTCCGCACTCGTAGCACTTCGGCGCGCACGTCGCCGCGAAAGGCGCCGCGACCGAAGCCTCCATCGGCGGCGACGTGTTCGTGCCCACGGAGACCGTCTTCGGCGGCGGCGGCAGAAGCTTCTCGCCGTCCGAGACGTCGCTCGGCTTGACGCCTTTTTCGACGTCGTCGTCGGAGTCGTCGTCGTCGTCGCGGTCGTCGTCGCCGCCGCCGCCGCCGCCGTGTCTTTCCGTCCACGCGGACACGAGCGACAGCATCGCGACCGCGAGGACGATCCCGATGACCGCGCACAGGAGCAGGTTCCAGACGTCGATCCGTATCACCGTCGCCGGGGACGCGTGATGCGGGTCGGTCATCCACGCGTCGTCTCTCGGGACGATGACCGTGAACCCGCCGTCGCCGGCGTTTGGTCTGAAGCCGTCGACCCCGCCGCCGTCGGCGGTTCGAACGACGATGTTCGGGAGCGCGGGCGTCGGGTCGGTCACGACGACGTACATCTCTTCGATCTCCACTCGATCGACGGGGTAGAAGAAGTCGCTCGCCGACGTCATCCCGGCGGCGCGTTCGGCGGCGAACGCCGACGCCGACGCGGCGTCGTCGACGCGCGTCTTCTCGGCTTCTTCCGCTGCTTCCTGCCACGCGGCGAGGAGCGCGAGGTCGACGCCGCCGTTGACGTCCGTCATCAGCGCGGGCCCCTCCCAGGAGAAGAACGCGGTCGCGGTCTCCGCGTCCAGGGTCTCCGCGTCTTCGATGCCGGGGTTCAGGACGAGCGGCGCGGCGTCGCGCGCGGCGTCGCGCGCGTTGTCCTCGGCGGCCGCGTCGACGTCGTCGTGGTCCGCGCGCGGGACCGCCGCGGCCTCCGCGAGGGCCTCGCCGAGCGGCTCCGCGCGGCACAGCGCGGGGGAGGCGCAGAGGAGGAGGAGGAAGAGGAGAGGGAGCGCGCGGGGGAGCGGCGTGCGCGTCCGCATCGCGGTCGGCGCGGCGGCGGGGCGCGGTGTGCGCGGCGTCGAGAGTGCCCTCGTCGTCCTCGGGAGACTCCTCGGGAGGTCCGAGGTTGAGTGCGACGGCTGAGGCGATTTCCATACAAAGAAGTTCATCGGTAAGTTGAAAGGGAACACGATCAAATGTTGAAAGTGCGAGGTGGGTGAAAAACTTTTCGTCCAGTGTGTCGAGAAGAAAAACTTCGCGACACGAAACGCTCGGCGCCGCGCGCGGACGCATTGCACGCTCGCGTCGTCGACGTATCGCGCGCGCGCACGACACCCGTCACCATGGCGGATCCGTGGGCTGAACCCACGGGCACGCCCGGCTGGAGCACCGCCCCCGCGGCGTCCGAGACGGTGCGCGTCCCGACGTCGTCCGTCCCGAATCGACGCCCCCGCCCGGAGGAAAACCAAAGCGATGGATGAGATGTCGAGATTCGTGGCGTTACGCCGCGCGACTTCCCCTCCCCTCCGCGTCGTTCGCTGACCTCCCTCGCCTCGCCTACGCCATATCCACGTCGCAGATCCCAACGAACGACCAGTCCGTCCTTCGCTCGCCGCGTTTCAGCATGGCGCAGTCCGTGGAGCGCATGAAGATCGACTCCGAGAACGTCCCCCTCACCGCGCTCGCGGGCAGAACCCCAGGGCGGACGCCGAACAAGCGCGCGACGATGGGCGGACCGACGTTCGTGCCGCCGCCGCGCATGGGCAGCTCTCCGCCGTCGTCGCCGCTGGCGAACAGAAGCAACGTGGACGACGTCACGTGGGCGGCGCAGGGCGCGCGGTCGGGGTATCCCGCGCAGCCGCATCATGACCGTCGCGTCGGATCCGCCGACATGGCGCCGCCGCCGCCGGTGACGCGGCACGACCGCAGGCAGACGATGGCGCCGAACATGATGTCAGCGTACAGGTTGAAAGAGGAGGAGGAGGAACCCGCGCTGATGGCCGCGCCGATGCCCCCCCCCGGGGGGGACCGGTGGGGACGCGGGAACGAGGCGTGGCGCGACGGCCCCGCCGCCGCCGCCGCCGCCGCCGCCGCCGCCGCGCCGCCGCCGCAGCGTGAGACGAACCGCCGCCACTCGACGTACGTCAGCGGGGGGTCGTACCAAACCCACCAGCACACGAACGGCGGCGGCGCGACGTCGGGGATGCCGCCGTCGATCTCGAGAGACGCGGACGCGTATTACACCCCGGCGTCGTCGCCGTGGGGGAGCCCGCCGAAGAGCTACTACAGCGCTACTTCGCGGACGAAGGCGAACGACGACGCGAGCGGCGGCGGCGCGACGTCGCCGCCGTCCGCGCCGCCACCGCCGCCGTCGTCGCACGGGTACAACACCCGAAGCGCGCGCAAGGCGGCGGCGGAGGCGCCGTCGAGGCCGGACTCCGCGAGGGACGACCGCGGCTACCCGAGCTACCCCGCCGCCGCCGGCGTGACGTCGCCGAGCGCTTCGTACTTGCGAGGGTTACAAGACCCGCCGCCGCCGCCGGCGGCGGCGGCCGCGCGCAGGGAGCACGCGACGCACCAAGCGTACCCGTCGACCATCCCGGGGACGAACGCGCCGCCCGGGACGGGGTACGCGCATCTCATGGTGAACAAGCCCGCCGGGACCGCGGCGGGGGCCGCCGCTCTCCTCGGCGCCGCCCCGGAGGGATGCTACCTCGGCACGTGGCGCGGGGACGAGCGCGCGCGCGTGCTCGCATACGAGGCGTGTCTCCAAGCGTGCCTGGAAGGGTCGCTCGGGACGAACGCGCCGCAGCACAAGGTTGACATGGCGGTGCACTTTCTCGCGGATCGATGCGCGGAGCTCCGAAAAGGATTTGGCATGGACGGCGTCCTCGTCGGAAGCAAAGGCGACGGCGGCGGCGGCGGCGCCCTCGGCGCGATCGCGAAGGGCAACGCCGCGTCCGTCGCCGCCGCGGACGTGGACGATCAGGTATCCTCGACGCGGCGGCAGACGTTCGACACCGGGTGCGGGCAACGATGGAGCGGCGTCACCGTCGACGTCACGGAAGTGTCCATCATCACCCGCGGCTGGAAGCGGTTCACGTCGCACCACCCGAGAGAGGTGTACCAGACGTTCAAAGAGAAGGGCGCGAAAGCGAGCGCGAAGCTCGTGCGGACGACGCCGGAGCCGCGCGGGGACGTGTGCGTCGTCCGCGCGGACAGCGGCGGATTTGGCGGCGTCGGCGGCGGCGACTCCGCGACGCTCCACGTCGGCTGCGGCGACGCGCGGATCCGACTCGCCGCCGCGGACGAGGCGCTCGTGTTCGAGGTTGACCTGGGCGAGGGGAAGATCGCGAAGGCGTGCCCGACGTTGGAGGAAGTCGCGAAGATGTCCAACGAAGGACGCAACATCGTCGAGCTTCCGCTTTTACTTCGCAACGGCAAGGAGAAGGGATACGTTCGCTTCACCGCGCACCTCGAACCGATCGGCGGGTACGACTGGGGCGCGCCGCTGACGAACCTGGATCACACGAACGGCGTGTGCGGCGGGTTGAACAGCTTCGGCGGCGACGCCGCGGGGTGGTCCTCCGGCGCGAACGCGCCGCTGCCCGCCGGGACGGCGTACGACGTCGCGTTGAACGCCGCGTTGCGATCGCTCGGGTTCCACCGCCGTCGCCTGAACATTCAAGGCCCGTGGGCGTGGCTCTTGCGCGAGCTCTCCGAGCTCCAGGGCGTCTCGCCGAACCACACGTCGCTGCGGTACGTCCGGCACGTCCTCGCGGTCGCGACGCCGACCGCGGACTGCCTCGCGAGCATCCTCGATCACCTCGCGCCGTGCCTTCGAGAGCACGCCGAGGGACGGCTGAACGCGTCCGAGGCGGAGCAACTGAAGGGGATCAAAGTCGCGGTGGATCAGCTCGTCGGCGTGTGCTTCCAGAACTACAAGAATCTCAGCGAGGACGAGCCGAGAGGGATCGCTAAGGAGGTTCCGCAGGTGGTCCCCGCGCCCGCGCTCGCGATCGCGCTCGAGCTGTCGCGGATTCTTCAAAAGGACCCGCTCGCGCCCGAGTCCATCCGCGGCCTTCAGTCGCACTTACAAACCGCCGCGCGGTCGTGCTACCGACGGCATCACTCCATCTTCCTCGGCGCGCGGCACAAGAACGCCATCGGGGGCGACGAGAGCGGGGAGTTGGACGCCGGGCACGCGCGCCTCTTCGCCGGCCTCTCCGAGCTCTGCCTCGGTCTGTGCCGCGAGCTCGGGACGGACCACACGATTCAAGACGCCAACGTGCTCCCTCTCGGCGTCCGCCTCCCTCAGCTCGCCGCCGGGGTGTACTGCACGGAGGCGTCCGCGTGCGTGGAGAAGCTCCTGACCGCGCACCCTCCGCCCGCGCCGCCCGGGCCGGAGGCGATCGACCTCGTGGACGCGCTGTGCGAGCTCCAAGAAGCCGCCGTCGCCGCCGACGTCAGCGATTTAGGCCCGGAGGAGCGGTTCCAAGGCGTCGTCCCGACGCACGACCGCGCGAAGAACGGGCCGTACCCGGGCATCGGCGGCGCCCCCGCGGCGAGCGCGATGGACCCTAAGCGTCTTTTCCAGCCCCACGTCGCGTCGTGGATCGAGTCTGGACGAGAGACGCTCCTGCGCGGCTGCATCGCGGCGTTGGCGAAGCACGGCGTCGGCGGCGCGGCGATGGACGACGCCTACCGCGAAGCCATGCGCGCGCTGGAAGGGTTCGAGAGAGTCGTCGCGCGGTGGCCGGACGCCGCGGTCGCGCTCGAGGAAGTTCTCGCGGACGCGGATCGTCTTCTCTTGCAGCGCATCAGCGCGAGCGTGGACGACGGGAAGGCCCACGGCGGCGGGCTCTTCGGCGGCCGCGGCGCCGCCGCCGGATTCGGCGGCGGCGGCGCGCGCGATCGCGAATACGGCGCGGGGTACGGCGCCAGGGACGGCGACGACGACGACGCGCCGCAGCCGACGCCGTACCGCGACGAGACCAACGAACCGAAGAAGAAGGAGATGCGCGGCGCGATGAACCGCCTCCGAGCGCGCGCGGGGAAAGCCGCGGCGGCAACGGTGGAGAAGGCGCGGTCGAAATTTCATCACGGCGACGACGACGCGCGCGCGGGGACGCGCGCGAAGCTCTCGCACGCGGGCGCTGAGGACGGGTACGTCCCCGCCGAGCTCGGCGCCGCGCTCACGGCGTTGAAAGCGATGGAGGTGCTGCGTCCGGAGGTTGGCCAGCGGCTCGTGCTGTGGGTCGCCGCCGCGGGCGGCGGCCAGCGCGCCGCCGGGGAGGAGTTTAGCCGCCGCAGCGCCGAGGTGCTCGGCGAGTTGCGCGCGCAGTACAGCGACAAGCTTCGCAGAGCCGTCGGCGGCGTCGCGGGCGCGGGGCCTTCGCTTCTCAACGCGCTGCGCGACGCGGCGATCCACGGGCCCGGGGGCGCGCACAGGGAGTTCGATCGCAAGAAGAAGCAGCGCTCAAACCGGTCGCGGAACGCGAGCCACCACCACAGGGAGTGGGAGCACGGCGAGCGCGACGCCGCGGACGGGGACGCGTCCGACGCCGGCGTCGACGACGACGACGCGCGCGGCGACGACGCGAGCGCGCGCGGCGACGCGCGAGGTTCGAACGAACGCGCGGGCGAGGACGAGCTCGACTTCGTCGTCGCGCCGATCTTGTCGCATGTCGACGTCGTCGCGCGCGGGCTGCGGCGGTCCGTGCCGCAGAGACGCGCGCTCGTTGGGGTGTTACGCGGGCTGTGGTCGCACTACGGCGGGGAGGCGTTGAAGTTTGTCGAGGAGGATCTGCGGCAGCGGTCGTCGTGGCGCCTGCGGTTGATCGCGACGGGCGCGTGCGAGAGGGTCTCCGCCGCGGTCGGCGCCGCGATCCGGGAGGCGTTAGGGCACGACGTCAAGGATAAGGATCTCGAGCCGCCCACGCTCGTGACGAAGCTCAGCGCGTTCGTCGACGGCGGCGCGACGGAGTCCGTCTCCGTGTATTAAAAATAACAAACCAGGGCGTCGCGTCGTCGCGACGCTCGATTGTGATGACTAACTTAACCTCATTCTATCGATCTCCGATCGCTCGCCTCTCACCACTCGCACACGACGAGCGCCTTCTCGAGTATAAACTTCCCCTCCTTGTACTTCTGGCTCCGCTCCCACGCGATCTCGTACTTCCACCCGAGCGTCGTCTGGCACTTGACGCACCGGAGATCCCTGACCGTGTGCAGGCCCGACATGAGGAGCCGGTCCTCCTTCTCGCCGAGGACTACGTTCGGGAGCGCGACGTCGTTGAACAGGTACGCGCGGCCGTGTCGTCCTTGGAACGCTTTGGAGATGACGTCGTCGTGGAAGCTCGTGTGCGTGCGGCACACCGCGCAGCTGTAGATCCTGCGAGAGGGAGGTTGAGAGAGAGGCGGGTACGTTGTGGGTCAACAACGCTTCGACGGCGCGAGCGGCTGGCATTTGACATTCGCCGCGCGGCGCACCTGTCGCCCGCGAGCCGGACGCACGGCACCGGAAGGATCGGCGGCGAGGACGACGCGGGCATGCTCTCGAGGCGCCTCGCGTGCTCGAGCGCGCGCGCCGTGTCCCGTGCGCGCCGCGGCGTTTGGCGAGACCCGGCGTGCGGATCTCGTTATTATCGAGTTGGTTACGACGGTTGCGGTTCAGGCTTCGCGCGTCGCGTCGCGTCACCTCGGGTCGATTTCCCGTCGAGCGGAGCGAGAAAAAGGCTGGAAAAAGGGCCGATCGATTCGCCCTCGGTCGCATTGATCCGCCAGACGATGATGGCCGCATCGCTCTCCTCCGTGAGCACCCACCGCGGTGTCGCGCTTCCGAATGCGCCTCGCGTCGCTAAGGCGCGCGTCGCCAAGGCGCGCGTCTGCGCGGTGCGTCCCGCCCCGTCCTCCTTCTCGCCGGCGGAATCACGACAATCCTGCCAACCGTCAGGACCCCTCTCCCTCCCGCTGCATTAAATCGGGGTCGGGGCGCTGAATCGACGCGCGACGCGCCCGCTCCACCCCGGTTCTTCATCGCTGACGTCGCATCGCACCCGCGCTATCGTCCCCACGCGCGCACAGGTCGCGTCTTCCCAGCAGGTTAACATCGCGGTGCGTCCTCGACGCCCCCCCAGACCCGCGCGTCCGTCGATTCGCGGAACGCCCGACGGATCCGACGTCGTCTCGCCACGACACGACGCCCCGTTCGTTCGCTCGTCGCTCACGCCCCCTACCCCCGTGATAACCACGACAGGATAACGTCACGCAACTCGTGGGATGCACGCCGATGGTGTACCTGAACAAAGTCACCGAAGGCTGCGTCGCGGAGATCGCCGCGAAGCTGGAGATCATGGAGCCGTGCTGCTCCGTGAAGGATCGCATCGGGTTCTCGATGATCGCCGACGCGGAGGAAAAAGGCGCCATCACGCCCGGGAAGACGATGCTCGTGGAGCCGACGTCGGGGAACACCGGGATCGGGCTCGCGTTCATCGCCGCCGCGAAGGGGTACGACCTGACCCTGACGATGCCCGCGTCGATGTCGCTGGAGCGGCGGATTTTGCTCAAGGCGTTTGGCGCAGACTTGGTCCTCACCGACCCGGCGAAGGGGATGAAGGGCGCGGTGATGAAAGCGGAGGAGCTCGGCGCCGCGAATAAGAACGCGTACATCCTGCAGCAGTTCGAGAACCCCGCGAACCCGAAGGTGCACTTCGAGACGACGGGGCCGGAGATTTGGGAGGATACCGCCGGGCAGATCGACATCCTCGTCTGCGGCGTCGGCACCGGAGGCACCGTGACGGGAACCGGGCGGTACCTCAAGTCCAAAAACCCAAACGTCAAGGTGGTCGCGGTGGAGCCGAAAGAGTCCGCGGTCTTGAGCGGGTCCGGCCCGGGCCCGCACAAGATCCAGGGCATCGGCGCCGGGTTCATCCCGGGCATCCTCGACACGGAGATCCTCGACGAGATCATCCAAGTCGGCAGCGACGACGCGATCGAGATGGCGAAGGAACTCGCCCTCAAGGAGGGGCTCATGGTGGGCATCTCCTCGGGCGCGGCGGCGCTCGCGGCGATCGAACTCGCGAAACGGCCGGAGAACGCGGGGAAGCTCATCGGCACGGTGTTCCCGTCGTTCGGGGAGCGGTATCTGTCGTCCGCGCTGTACAGCTCGATCCGCGAGGAAGCGGAGGGGATGACGTTTGACAAGGAGGAGAAGTGATGAATTGAATCGACGAGAGAGGAGGGAGGATAGGAGGAGCGCGGCGTCTCGGTCGGTGCGTTCGGCATGGTGCGGGCTCCCCGGACGCGGAGCCCACGTCTCTTGTTATACAGTACATATTGAACTCGTTCGTTCGTCACGCGAAAGCGACCGCGGAGGACGAGACGCGAAGACTCGCGCGCGAACCGCCGGCGCCGCCGCCGCGCGATTTCCGAGGGACGCGCGCGGCGCGAACCCTCGTCGCCCTCCCTCCGTATGGGCATTTAGTCACGACCAGCCCGGACGCGCTCCCCCGCCTCGGCGCGCGGTCCCGGATTTCGAACCCGAACCCGAACCCGAACCCGAACCCGCCGCGCGCGGCGTTCGACCCGCGCCAGCGCCCGCCCGCGCTCGCGACGACGGGCCCTTGGCCCGCGCCGCCGAAATCGCCGTCGCCGTCCTCCGGCTTCTTCATCGCGACTGACGACATCGCCGTCGTCACGATGGGCGCGTTCATGCCGTCGCTCCCGTCCCGCGGCTTGAACACCATCTTCACCGGCGCGAGCGCGCGGTCGAGCGCGAATCCAACACCCGCGACGACCGCGCCCGCGACGAGGAGACCGCCGGGGAGGACGTACCACGCCGCGGACGTCGCGCCGGCGCCGCCGGAGGAGAGGAACCCGAGCGTTAACAACGCGACGAGCGACGCGACTTGCGAGTAGTTCGTCAACGCCGTCGCCGTCACCGCGTCCGCGTCGTGATCGAGCGCGTACTGCACGCAGACGCTCGGCACGGGCATCAGGACCAGCGCGGCGATCGCGAAGCGGAACGGGCCCAACGACGGCGGCGCGAACGTCGTCGCGACCGCGGCGGCGACGAGCGACAACGCGTACTTTGTCGTCAGAAAATTCGCGACGTTTCGCAGCCGCAAACGCGACAGCGCGGGCTCGAACAGCGCGCCGAGGGTGATAAGCACGAGCGGGCGGTTCGCCGCCGCGAGCGGCGCGAGGACCGCGGCGAGGGCGTCCGGCAGCGGCGCGCCTCTGGACGCGAACGCGAGCAGAAGCGCGATCATCGGCGGAAACGTCAGAATCTTCGTCGCGAGTCTCGAGATGGCCCGCGCGTTCGTCTCCTCGACCGACGCCTTCGCGGCAGCCTCGCGCGCGAGGGAGCTCACCGTCGCCGCCTCCGCGGCCGCCGCGTCCGTCGCTTTCATGTCCATCGCCTCCACGAACTCGCCCTCCTCGAACCGCCCGCTCTTCACGCCGCCGCTCCGCAGAAACCTCAGGGTCGTTCCATACAAGCGAACGTCGGGGTGGAGTTCAAAGGCGTCAGTTGGAGTTGAAAGGCGCCGAGGGCGGGGATTGAAAGCGAGGGGTGGGCGGAGAGATGCGCCGGGCAAAGTCCTTAAGGATCGGCGTTCACCACGCCGACGCGGTCGTATGGGGACCAGTGTATAGAACGCACCTCACGCCGAGCCCGTTAAACGTCCCGCGCTTGAACTCCCCGGCGTAAGACCCGCCCTTCGCCCACTTGTACACCCCGTGCCCGTCCTTGACGTTGTTGTTCCACCTCCCCTCGTACACCGCGCCGCTCGGGTACGTGTACACGCCCAGGCCTTGCTTGGACTCGCCGCCGACGGACCACTCGCCGACGTAGACGCCTCCGTCGTCGTGCCTCGCGTTTTTCTTTCGCGCGTCCCGGATCGTGTTGCGCTCCTCCGCGGCGAAGATGGCCGCGGCGACGCCGAAGACGACCAGCGCGTTCGGGATATCGTACAGCGCCGCGAGCCTGAGCCCTTCCGCGCCCCAGACAGCCTCCACGAACGGATACGCGAACGTCCCCAAGTTCACGCCCGTCATCGCGCCCACCATGAGCCCGCGCTCGTACGACGGCCGGCGGCGGTACAGGAGGCACGCGCCGCCGGTCACGAGCGCGGACGCGAGGATCGACGTCAGGAACACTACGGGCGCGCCCGGGCCGAACAGCGGTCCCGCGCTCGTCAGCGTGTGCAGCAGCAGCGCGGGGAGCGTGACGTTCACGACGAAGCGCAGCATGACGGCGCCGTCGTCTCGGGAGACGACGCCGACGCGCTTCAGGGCGTAGCCGAGGAGGGCGTACGCGGCGACGAGCGCGACGCGGCCGAGGACCGCGCTCGCGCCCGCGGCGTCCATCGCGAGCGGGATCGATCGAGGGGAGCGCGGGTGGTCGGGTGACGCGCGCCTTCGAGTGCGCGCGCCCGAGCTAGGGTTGGGTTGATCGAGGAGGAGTGCGATTTCGCGGCGTTCGCTTTTCACTTCGAAGTCGCGCGCGACAGCCGGGGGAGAATGCACCGGGAGAAGATATCCCCCGACCTCGTCGTGCAGCTCTTCCAGCTGCACTGGGAGGAGAGCGAGAGAGAGAAGGCGGCGGCGGCGGCCGCGGCGGAGGGAGGGGACGGCGTGGACGGCGTGGACGGCGACGGCGACGGCGGCGGCGGACGCGCGGCGAGGAAGATCTCGATAAAAGACGAGGCTGTCCTCGCGAGCGCGGAGGTCTTGCGGCACTTCGCCGCGGAGATCGTGCACAGGGCGGTGGAGATCGCGGCGCAGGACGGGGACGACACCGTGGACGGCGGGCACCTGGAGCGGATACTCCCGCAGCTGATGCTCGACTTCGCGACGTGATCGCGACGCGGCGGGGACGGGAGTTGGCACCCGTACCCGTCGTCTGTAGAATCTAGGCATTCTCTAGTTTGAATCTCGACAGACCACGTTCACAGACGCGAGCGCCCCCGCACGCGCCGTGACGCGCGATGGCGGACGGCGTAGACCTCGGCGAAGCGAACGACGACGTCGTGAGCGCCATCATCGCCGTGCTCCCGGCGTCGGACGCTATGCGCGCCGCGCGCTGCTCCAAGACGTGGTGCGAGCTCACCGAACGGAGTTTCGAGGCGCGGTGCAGGGCGAAGGGGTGGCGACTCCCCAGGCGACCGCGCGGGGAGGACAGCACGACGAAGTACCCGTGGCGGCGGTTATACAGAACCAACGCGTGCGCGCGGTGCGTGGACGGCCCGGGGGAGTTCAGGGTGTCGCGAGACGCGGGGCGGTGTGACGTGAGGGTGTTCATGGTGTGCACGAGATGCGCCGGCGACGCCGACGTCGTCGCGCGGCTGGCGCGGTGGGGGCTTTTGATCGACTTCCAGTCCGTCACCGGGGCGTTTCTGCCGCAGGTGAAGCTGAAGAGAGGGAGCAAGCGCGAGCGGAAGAGCGGCGAGCCGATCGACCGCGGCATACGAGGGTTCGTGTGATTAGTTAGCCCGGGTGACGAGTGTATCGTTATTAGATCGGTACTTCTACACGACCCCGGCGAGAGGTCCCGCGGACGCTTCGCTCTCCGGCACCGACTTCAACGCCCCATCGCCGTAGTCTTCCTCTCCCTCGTCCTTCTCCTTACTCGCGTCGCCGCCGCACAGCGCAGCCTCGAGCGCCGCGGCGACGCTTCTTCCGCCGTAAATCAAAAGAATCATCCCGAACCCGCCGACCCACGCGGTCCACCACAGACCGCCGAGCAACACGACGGTCACGGACACGACCATCTGCACGACTTGCATGGGGGATCCGAACCGAAGGAAGTCCGCGAAGACGTACCCGCCCGGCCCGTACACCATCAAGTTCGTCTGGTACCCGAACGGCGACATGAACGACGCGCTCGCGGCGAGCATCAACAGAAACGACATCTGATCCCTCTCGATGCCCTGTTGCTCCGCCGCGCCGGCGGCGATGGGATACATCAACGCCGCCGCCGCGTTATTCCCGACGACGTTGCACATGAACACCGTCGCGGCGTAGATCGCGACGAGGATCCCCGCGTTCCCGGTCCCGGCCGCGTTGCCGCCGTCCACGAGCGTGTCCGCGATGGCGCTCGCGACGCCCGACTGTTCCATCGCCGCCGAGATGCCAAACGCGGCGGCGATGGTCACGATGATGTCCCACTTCACCGCCTCCCTGGCTTGCTTCTGGGTCAGGCACCCGGTCGCGAGCATGACCCCGGACGCGAGAAGCGCGGCGACGAAGAGGTCGAGCAGACCCGCGACGAAGACGACGATCATGACGACCGCGGTGAGGCACGCGGGGAGGAGCTTCTCGAACTGCGGCGGGGACGAGTTTTCAACCTCGGACACGAGCGCGAACGCGGGGTCGTGCTTGTACAGCCGCAGGAACGATCCGCCGGTGTCGAGGAGCAAGACGTCCCCGGCGGAGAGGACGATGTCGCCGATCTTGGCTTGGATCCTTCCTCCGCTTCGCTGCACGGCGATGATGACCGCGTCGTAGCACGTCCGGAAGTGCGAGTCTCTCACGGTTTGTCCGCAGAGAGGCGAGCGCACGGCGATGACGGCTTGGACGAGCCTTCGATCGGTCTTGTTGATGTTCAGCTTGTCCACCTGCTTCGTCTGCGGGACCAAGCCCGGGATCCGGAACAGCTGATGCACGCCGTTGGCGTCGCCCGCGAACCACAGGACGTCGCCGCCTTGGAGGACGTACTCCGGCCCCGGGACCGCCATTGCCTCGGACTCGCTCCCGGCGACTTGCACGGCGGTGAGGAATAATCCGGCGAGGCCGCGTAACCCCGCGTTCATGAGCGTTTTTCCATCCAATGCGCCCTCCGGGAGAACGCGCACCGGGCACGTGAAGTCCGTCATCGCTCGTAAGTCCGCGTTCCCTTCCCTGGACAGCACTTGCAGGTCCGGGTCCGACGTCGGGCCGAGGCCTGGGGTGTGCGACCGCGACGCGCCGCCGCCGCCGTCGAGGGACGTCATGGATCCCTCGGACGATCGCAGCGCCAGCTTGCTTCGTCGCCCGCCGCTCTTCGTCTTCGACGGGCTCCCCAACGGCGACGGCGTGGGCGTCATCGACTTCGGCGTCGACGGTCGCGGTTCAGCAGGCTTCGCGTCGTCGTCGTCGCCGCCGCCGCCGCCGCCGCTGAATTTCGTCAACAACGCCGCCGCCGCGGCTTCGTTCGACTTTGGGCTATCCCGCGGCACGGAAGCCACGGGCGCGGCGAGCGCGCCGCCGCCGCCGCCGCCGCCGCCGCTTCCGATGTCCACCACCGTCGCGCCGCCGGCGTCCGGACGCGCGCCGTAATCGATGCTACTCCGCGCGCTGTCCGAGCCGCCGTTCAAAACCTCCCTGGACTGATCCCGCTGCAGCGCCAACATCGACGGCGTGACGTTCAACGCGGGCTCTTTGAACTGCAGCAGCGGGCACTTATCCAGGCAGTGCAGCATGAGAATGTCGCCAGCCTCGAACTTTAAGCCGGCGAGGCGGCCCTGATTCGCCGCTCGCATGTCCTCCCCGCCGCGCTGCACCGCGATGATCGCGGCTTTGTACTTTTCGCGGAACCCGACGTCGAACGCGGTTTGCCCAATCAGCGACGACGTCGTCCGCACGCGGCACTTCAAGACTTGGTGCCGCTCCAGCAGCGCCTTGCGGACGCCGAGCGGGGTATCCTTCGCCGCGAGGACAGCCTGGATCGGCATCGCGCTCTCCTCCGCGCCGACCCCAACCTTGGCGTCGCTCGGCGTCGGCGCGTCCGCGGTCATCGCGCGGCGAACGGGGCCCTTCTTGAACGAGGAACGCTCGACGCCGCCCGCCGCGTCGTCGGGGTTGGCAAACCCCCTCGCGCCTCCTCGACCGTCCTCCGACCGTCGTCGCGCGCGTCGGACTTTATCCGCGCTCCTCCGGCGGGCGCGGTGCTTCCCGCCGCTGTCGCTGAGCCCGCCGCCGTCGGACGAGAAGTTCCCGCCGCCGTCCGACGAGCACGCCCCGGCGTCGGACGCGGACGCGTCGCCGGCTCTGTCTTCGAACTGAAACGTCTGCTGCAGCATCGTCTCGTAATCGCGCGAGTGCGCCATTGCTCGGGATGTCGTGTGCTTGGAGTTCCTGGGCGGGTACGTGTCCGTGGACTTGAGGGGCTCGACAGAGGACAGCCGCACGCTCTCGTGGTCGACGCCGACGCCGTCGCCGTCGCGCGAGCCCTTCTTCCCGCCGCCGCCGCCGCCGTCCACCATCCACGTGTCCTCCACCTCGTGCGTCAGCGGCAGCAGCCCAAACTCCACGCACACGTCCCCTATGCTCTCTACTAAACCGGTGAAGTGCAACACGTCGCCTTCCTCGAGCAGAAACTCCGGCGTGACCGCGCGCAACAACATGTCTCCGCGTTGCACGGACACGAGGTACAACCCGTTCAGCCCTCTCAACGCGGCGACGGGCTGATCGATGACCGGGGACCCGGGGGCGACCACCGCGCCGACCGCGAGCGCGTCGAGTTTCGTGTGGTCGTCGCCGTCGCCGTCGCCGTCGCGTTTCTTCCTCGATCTGCTCCCGCCCTTGAGGAGGAACGGCGCGGCGATGAGAATGTACGCCATGCCGGACATCGCGACGGGAACGCCGTAGATGCTCAACGCGAAGAGGCCCATCGGCTCTTCCTCCGGGTACCGGTCGCGCATCATCCCCTCCACGACGAGGTTCGTGGACGTGCCTATCAGCGTGCACGTCCCGCCGAGGATGGACGCGAAGGACAGCGGGATGAAGAGCTGCGCCTTGTGCACCCCGATCTTGTGCGCCCACTTCTGTAATATCGGAATCATGATCGCGACGACCGGGGTGTTGTTCAGAAACGCGGAGACGAACGCGATGGGAACCATGAGGCGAATCTGCGCGGACGCCGCGTCTTTCGGGTGGCCTAACAGTCGCCCCATGTAGTAGTCCAGCGCGCCCGTGTGCGATATCCCCGCGGCGACGACGAAGAGACACGCGACGGTGAGGAGGCCCTTGTTCGAGAATCCGGCGAGGCCGCTGTCGATGTCGACCGTCCCGGCCGCGAGCATCATCGCGAGCGCGCCGAGCATGAGGATGTCCGGCCCCGCGACGTTCTTCAGCAGCGCCACGAAGGTGATGAACATGATGGAGACGCAGTACCATCCTTCCCATTGTTCCCCCATGACGACGGCCGGCGTCGGTCACGCGACGTTCCTACGCCGACGGGTACGATGAGGATAAAAGGGCGAGGCTAACGGTCTTCACGTGTCGAGACCTGACGGGACGCGAGCGCGGGACCCCTCGACGGCGCGCGGGACGCGGGGGCGGGGCCGACGACGCGGCGGGGTCGCGCGGATCGCGGTCTCCGCGACGCGATCGATGGACGACTCCGCGCGAGCGGCGCGTCGCTCGCGGCTGTGAGGGGACGTGAGGTGACGGATGGCAAGGTTAACAACGACGCGCGGGCGACGCCTCGGACGGCCCGCCGACCGCCTGCGCCTCCACCTGCCTCCATTTTCGCGCGCGCGCGCGATGGAGCCCCCGTCGCGGGCGCACACCGCGCTGTGGCTCCTGTTCATCGTCCCGTACGCGGCGTTCTCCGCGCACGCGATCCTCGCGCTCAGCCTCAAGCGCGGCGTCTTCGGCCTCGTCCAAGGCGCGCTCCTCGCGTGCGTCGCGCTGCCGTTCTGGCGCGCGATCTGTCGCCGTCCGACCTACGCGCCGCTGAGCGCGCTCCTGTCGCGGTACCGCGCGAAGACGCCGTCGTCGAACGCCGGGTTCGCGGACGCGAGCGACGCGGGGTTGGAGTGGACGCGCGCGATCGAGGCCGCGGTGGAGACGTTCGCGGACGAGCTGTCGTCGTTCGCGAGGGCGAACGCGAAGACTTCCCTGATGAACGCGTCGTCGAGCGCGGCGGATTCGAATTCCGCGATGAGAGACGACGGCACGGGAACGGGAACGCCGGCGTCGCCGGCGTCTCCGACGTCGCCCACCGCGGACGAGCACCCGACGCGCGCGCTCCTGCGCTCCGGCTGGGGCGTCGTCCCCATCCTCGACGAGTGCTCGCGGCCGAACGCGCTCGCGGCCGCGCGGTTCCCGAGGACGTCCAGAGCGATCGCGGCGGCGAACGGATTCGACGCCAAATTTTCAACGCTCGCGGGGAGAGACGTCGACGTCCCGCGCGTCGGCGAGTGCGACGGATACCACCGCGCGCACGTCGTCGTCCTCGCGGAGGGCGGGCACGAGCGCGGCGCCGTCGTGGGCGTCGAGGTTGGGGGGCAGCGAAGGACGTTACGGCGAGGGGACGTCGTCGTCGCGAACGACCACCTCGAGAGCCGGTGGTTCCGACCGGAGGGCGAAGACGTCGACGCGGCGTGCGTGTTGTCGTTCGACGTGATGAAGCGCGCGTTTCGGCACTGCCGCGCGGGGGTGGAGAAGCATAGGAGGGAGCATAGGGAGGCGTTGGTCGGTAGCGGTGACGGCGAGGGGGGCGCGAGCGGCGGGGGGGTCGGCGCGGCGGTTAAGCGCGTCGCCGCCGCGTTCGCGCGCGGGTTCGTCGGGAACCTCGGGTGATTTCAAAGTCGCCCCCGTTCCGTCCGTCGTCGGCGCGGCGTACTGTACGCGCGCGATAGAGCGTTCAACGCGCGCGGCGTGCTAGGTCTAATACACTCATTTCGCTACCGACGAACCGTCCCGCGCGAGCGGGGATCCACCCGCCTTCATCGCGCTCTTCCGACCCCGACCCCGCGACCCGCCGCCGCCGCCGCTGCCGTCGTCGTCCGCCTCGGAAGCCCCCTCGAACGTCACGACGCTCCCTTTACTCTGCTTACTGCTCACGCTCGCGTCCGGGGACGAGCTCTGGCTGCTCTCCTTGCTGCTCTCCTTGCCGATCCTGCCGCTCTTCTTCGACCCGCCGAAGCTGCCGCTGTTCGCCGACTTGAGGCTCCTCGAGCTCCCGCTGCCCCGCGACAGGCTCTTGCCGCTGTCCGTGCGACTCCCGCGTCGCGACTTGTTCACCAGCTCCCACGCGCTCTCCGCCTGCGCCTCGTCCTTTAACTCCGCGATGACGTCGTCGAACTCCGCGGGGAAGACCATGCGGCGGTGCAGGGTGACCACGATCGTCACGCGCGCGTAGGTGTCGTCCGCGGGGACGCACCGCAGCGCCGCGCGCGCTTGGTCCTTGGTCGCGTAGTGCGACTCTGCCCAGTGGAGGATGCTCTCTCCGCGCTCCATCGAATCCTTCTCGAGCGATTCGACCTCGACGATCATCGCCGCGAACTGCAGGTCCGGCATCTGCCTCGCTTTCCTCTTGTTCAGGAGCCTCCGGACGATCTCGTCGATCGCGCTGAGGATGATGGGGACGTGCGTCGTCGTGAGCTGGCAGCTTCGCTGCTCGCGCGTGCGCTTGTCCAGAAACGTGAATCGGAAAATCTTTTGCGTCCCGCTCCAGTTATCCACCAGCGCGAGCGGGTACTCCTTCAGCACCTTGCGCTCGCGGTTCGGCCCGTCCCCGCGAGACGTCGTGAGGATCCTGAACCCGAACTCGGAGACTTGAAACCCGACGAGGCCGTTCGCGTCCAGGCCCTCGAACGCCCAGTTCTCGTAAGACATCGGGGACACCGCGAACAAGATGCTCTCCGCGCTGTCGCGAATCGGGGGAGGGAACCGCGCGCGTCCGGAGCCGCTCTGCGACAGGTCGTTGTCCTTGTACCTGTCCTCCTTCGGGATGTCCTTCTTCTT